GGCTACTTAAATCAACGATAAAATGATGTGTATCTATATTAAATGTATTTAAGTAAATTATCTAAAGGTTACCTTTGTGTATGTATTTGGTGTATAGTTCACTTTTTGGCAGTGAATCCGCATTGGTAATGTCCAATAATATTCTTTGTAAATAGATTATGTAGTTTTGAAAGTAATGGCTCTATAGTTCTTGCAATCAAGTTCATTACCCTTTTTAGCGAGCAAATCATTCTCTTTAGCCACTTCTCTGGTATCAATTAATTCTGCCATTTAAGTACTATTAGTTTATGAATTATTACGAAGAGATGGTCACCACAGGTCTTATAAATTTCAGAGCAGATTTCGTCGATTCCTGGAGCTTTATTGTTTAAGATTTCGGAATGCATTTGACACTTCTTCTCTTGTTGGTGCTTCAATGTGTAGTTGCTGATGAAATTTTCTTATGTTTTGATATTATCGCCTTCTTTAACATAATCTAAATTGAGGTGATCACTGAAACGCTTTGTTCATCTATTAAAACATGTGTTTTTTTCATGTATAATTTCACGGATAATGTCTCTGACACTTTTTATTCTTGGATTCTTCGTATTTGGGAATTCTAAATATTATCTTTGAGTGTTGTGATTTTTGATGTTTGATGTTACGTATAAAATTCATCCTATTGATTTTGAATTAACAATAGTGCAGCATACATGAAAGGCTACCTGAAATAATTATTGGAGTCGGAAGAAAGAGGAGCTGACTATTGAGCAGATTGTACAAAGGCGTTGCATTTCCAATTTGAAGAAAAAAATATACATTGCAAAAATTGGTGTCAAACAGTGGTGTGTTTAAGAAACTGGTCATGAGAAAATACAAGCAACTTTTTCTTCGAGGCACACTGAGAAACTGCAAAAATCAATCTCGCCCTGTCTAGGGTCAGGATCTGGGACTTAGGTGATAAACACCTTAGGTGAGCTACAGTACTAGTGCTATGCTGGTGGTGTATCTGTAAGAGGATCTTCGTACTCCGGAGGATTGTCAATGGAATTTTGTAAGAGAATTGAGGGTGAATGAAGTTTTTTTAATTTTGGATTTGCCGATTCGTACATTTCCAAAAATTGAACAGGACGTTTTTAGGGTTTCTTGAGCACGTAGATAATGTTAATGAGAAGATTACGGTTCCAAGTGGTCGATTAATCATTTCGATTATTTGGATAACTATTGAATATTTTAGAAGTTATGAATTTCGTGGGCTGATGAAAGTACTAGCATTTGCAGATGATGTTGACATAATCGCAAGATCAAGAAGAGAAATGATAGAGGCATTCACTCAAATAGAACGAGCTGCAAAAAATAGTGGTCTTAAAATCAATCAGACAAAAACAAAATATATGCCTGCAAATAAAAACGCACAAATAAGGCAGCTGCCAAATTTAACAATAGGAGAATACAACATTGAGGCGGTAAAAAACTTTACATACTTAGGATCCCTAGTTACGTCTGATAACAACGTTGCAGAGGAAGTGAAGAGGAGAATATTTATTGCCAATAAATGTTACCATGGCTTAATTAGGCAACTAAGATCAGATAACGTCTCCAGAAAAACAAAATGCCAAATATACAAAACCTTAATAAGACCGGTACTCACATACGGTTCAGAAACCTGGACACTCTCTAAAAGGGAGGAAACGTTATTAGCCACCTTTGAAATAAAAATCTTGCGACACATATATAAGGGCACAAAAGAAAACGGGATTTGGCGGAGAAGGTATAACTTTGAACTATACAACATATACCAGGATCCGGATATCATAACATTCATTAAAATAGGAAGGCTACGTTGGATTGGACATGTGGAAAGAATGGAAGAAGGCGAAATACCAAACAAAATATTCAAACAAGTGCCAGTAGGAAAAAGAACAAGAGGAAGACCGAAGCTGAGATACGTAGAACAAATAGAAAATGATATAACAACATTAAAAATTCAAAACTGGAAAAAAAAGCACGAAACAGGTCAGAATGGAGAAGAATCCTTGAACAGGCCAAGACCCAAAAAAAGTTGTCGAGCCAGTGATGATGATGATGATGAATTTCGTGGAAGCGAAAGTACCACTCTTTGAGGTTCCCTAAACGCATAATAAGATACTTATTACTGGATTTCTGTCATTTTTTTATCAAACTTTCCCGCAATGAACGTAGGAGACGTGCTTTATTTCTTACTTTGTCTAAGGTCGCCTTTCGACCAGCATCTTAGTTGAGAATCCTAATTAGCAGGATACTACAAAAGATTGCTGGTCGGCTAAAGGAGAGCATTTTTCCCACAAATTCAAGGAAAAATTGATTTCCACGTTGTGAATGATTTTGTTGGATAATGTTGGGGTTCTGAAGATGATGGTCGACGTTTTAGTTGTAACTATCCATCTGTTGGCCGAAGACAGAACTCATCAATGCAAATTGATTGATTTGTTTAGAGCAGCATTTCCAAAAATAAAAGTAGCCATTATGATTGCCAACCTGCGTAGGGAGACGGCACTCTAAGAAGAAGATCCATCTGTTACACTACTGTTAATCGACAGTTATATAACAGTTAATACAAGTATCGTATCATTGGCGTAGAGCAATAGCTGGGTAGCTGGAATGTTCTGGTTTGTAAAATCACTGTTGTAAATGATATACAAGAGGGTAGCTAATATAGAACTTCATAAGACTGCAGCTTGTGGAATGAAGAGTGTTAAGATGTAATTGTGTATTTTCACTCTACTTGGATATTTTACAATTTTTAAAAATTCTAACGTTAGCTGAATGTTAATTAGTCTCTTAATCAATCCTTTGTGCTAGATTTAATCGAAAGCCTTTTGTATATTTATAAACGTGGATAAGACGATGTATTGGTCATTTATGAATTGTGCTGTAATATTTAGTAAAGCATGCGTAGTACATGTACCAGATTAAAATCCATGTTGATAGTTTGGAAAGATATTGTGAGTTTCGAAAAATCCTGTGACTCTTCCCCTCAGGATACTCTAAACGATTTTCTCTAGCATGTTAATGAGAGAGATGGGTCTGCAGAATTTTTGAGTTTTGAATTGAGATTTTTGTTACAAGGATTTTAAAGAATTATATTAGACATTTGCGGATGACGTCATCAGATCCTGAAGACTTTGCTTTGTGGATACGGTAATATTTCTTCATATTAATGTTGAGAATAAGGTTTATGGTGTGTTCATGGTTTGGTAGAACAATATTTCGAACGAATTGTTTTGTATCGAGTTTAAATTAATGATCACAGCCATTTTGTGGAATTTGGACGTTAATTTAAAGCGAATTTATAGAAGCTTTAATTTTTCCTACTCTCAAATTTACTATTTATTTATCGATCACTAACACGAATAGTTTACTTACATGGACGTATAAACACAGATGGACTCAGTTATTTACATAAAATTGTGGAGTCAAAATTATTTGAATAGGTCACATTCTGAGCACCTTCAACTGTTGTCACGTTTTGTTTTAAAATTTCTTATTCGCGAGTCGCTGAAAATATTACTCCGTATTTTATACTCTACAGGTGCTATCAAACCAAAATAATAATTTATTGGTTATATTAATATATTTAATTGTAATCAAAATATCAAGTGTGCACATAGTGTGCATTATCATTTAATAATAGCGTATAATAGATATCAATCAATTATTTTATATGTAGAAGCACTGAAAACTATTTATAAATGGCAACGGTTGTTTACATTTCTCTGTCTTATGGATCTACGTCAAACTTCAAATGCTGTTCCATGTTTGTTTACTTTTTACAGTAAACGAGGAAAAAGTTATTTTTCGATATTTTGGCTGTATTTTGAGTGATATTTGTGAAAAGTGAAATAAAATAAACGAAATATTTACATCTCGATCTCTCATTTCATTTGTAAGTACATACAATTTACATTATTTAAGATGAGGAAATAAGGAAGCGTGTTTGTTTATAGTTTAATAGGCGTACCATTGGGTTTATGCATGTTCATTAATGTATTGAATAAGATATGAGTTCATGAAATTAGTAGACATTTATAAATTGTAAGTAGACATCATCTGATTAAAAAAGATCTGTTTATTACCTTTTTAATTTAATATTTCTCATGGATACAAATAAATTAGTGAAATGAATAAAACTCATGTATTTTTCTATGTAGGTTGCCAAATAGTATTGACGTTCGAACTATTTGGGTAGCAAATTAAGGAGAAAACATAAAGATTTTTTATTGTAGCATTATTTTGATACTATTAAAAAATTAACTTAAATTCAACTATATTTAATTGTATTAATTTTAAAGCAAATAAAATTGTATTTTAATTTTTCTATAAAGACGTGATTTGTTAATACTTAAACTCTCGTTTTTTAAAATTGTTTGAACGTGGTTTTATACATTATTACTACTTCCAATTTTTAAAATCTGAATAATTACCCGCGAGTAAAAATTCAAGCACGCTTATGCTCATTGCGGAAGCATCACATTCTATCGAAGCTTCAAAACATTGTGTGTTAAAGGTATCTTATTGCTGTGTCCATCTTTGTTTATACGTCCATGTTTACTTACAATCATCATCAGTATGATCATAATCCTTGTGCAAAAATGTCTATTTAGTTCCGGTTCCTTTGCTGCACTTTTTGTATGGTAATTTTTTAGGAGTTTATTCGATTGTTATTCGCTGATACGATGGTTCTACTCTCTTCTGTCTGTCATTTAGTAGACGCTACATGATACACCTAAGTACCTTCATATAATTGATTCTTAGTATTCATTGTTATTGGTGGTAAAGTTTTATCTAAATATGCCCATATGCCATTATTGGTTCAATAGATATTTTGTAAATTGTGAACTGATAATCAGGTGACTGATTTTTCATATTGGCTGTTTAAAATGTTAAATACCAATCTGATTTTTTTTAATTTTTTCTTGTATTTTATTATTATATCTTTTTAGTACTTTATTTAACTAAATTAACACTTATTTCCTATTTTTAGATATTATAAAAAATGTTGGTACCTTTATTAATACTTCTTGGTATAGTGGCATATCTATACAAGAAATGGAGTTATTCCTACTGGAAACGAAAGAATCTCTACTACATAGAACCAGAATCTTTCTATGGTAACATCAAAGACTTAATGGTGGGAAAAAGTAGTTTGGCAGATCAGTACAAATCACTGTATGATGAGTTTAAATCCAAAGGTTTAAGACACGGAGGATTTTATGAAATGTTTGCTCCTGCTTATATGCCAATAGACATAGAACTTACAAAAAGTATACTACAAAAGGACTTTCAGAATTTCAGAAATCATGGAGAGTATACCAATGAAAAAGTGGATCCTCTTAGTGGACATTTGCTGAATTTGTCGGATGATAAATGGAAAAATCTTCGAGCTAAACTGACACCTACATTTACGTCAGGTAAGTTGGTATACAAAATATCTTTTGTCTTGATTTTTATTTTATTTTCTTGGAATATTCTAACTTGTTCTGTTACATATTTTTATTGGTCTAACTTATAGATAGACCTCTGACACATTTTGCCAAAGTTAAACGATTCGCAAATATCCGATATTATACCGATGGCGACAATTAAATGCAATATTAATTTTTTTTTCTTTCCCAAAGTAATTAATGGATTCGGCCATTACTTGATGGAAATTCATTTTATGAAACAATAAAACACTGAAAACTTTGTTTTCAAACTTCGACAAAAATTTATTTTAACTCTTATCACTACAGCTGTTTCGGCTGATTGCCTTTCTTAATTGATCTATTTTTGGCATGTGTTTACAGTTTATAGTCTCTAATGAAATAGGTTGAGGAGGGGAGAACTGTTTGTCTCAAGTTGGTCATTCAGAATTATATCTGTGATTTTTAATTTGTTGATTTCCATAGACTCTAACAAGGATAGCTTAAGGCCTTTATTTTGAATGTGAAGAATTTTAAATTCGTCGTTAAAAAAATAACGATTGTGATGTAGAAGGTAAAGTGCGTATGTAGAATCTGTTTTTCTATTATCGAAAGTGTAATGTAAACATAGCAAGAGAGTAAAGATTAAAATAAAAGTTTGTAGCATAGGGGAGAATAATAATCATTTTAATGATTATTATATATTCCAAATTTAATAAGGGAGAATTAATACAGTAAAAGCATACATTTGGTTATACAAAAAAATTGACCTAGTTAGTGCATTGTTTGTTAATTGTTTAACGCAGAAAAAGTACGTCAAACAGAAACTGTTATTGTAGTGCAATATAGGACCCACAATTCAGCGAAAACACGACCTTGGTACTAGAACCGGCGTTGAAAGTACGAGCACAATAAAACAAGAAAAAACGACGGTACCCAGGCAGTCAGTAACAGCGAGGCAGTCGGTAATAGCGAGTCAGTCAGTGATAGCTGGGCACCGTGACTGCCCGCTCAGGCAGAGATCGCCGACTCCGGGTCGGACATGATAGCGTCCAGTACGCGATCAGTAATAGGCAGTCGGTATGTCTCCGGGGAGCGCTTGACACGCGACATAGTATCTCGTGTAGTCAGGTTAGTGGTGGTAACTCGTAAGTTCGTAACAACGAAGGAGTCCCCTCAACTGACCGAACTCCAGAGGACCGAAGACGTGTCGTTGTTGAAAGTCTAATTACACATAAGGAAACAGATTTCTATATACTAACCAGAGCAATTATAATAGTACAACTGCCAGTTCTTCACTCTCTTGCTTCTCGTCTCCCGGCGCGCTGAATGATTTATTAACGATTGTATTTGTAAACTACAGGGTACATTCAATATATTGTAGACTCTAATTTGGTTTTAATATTCCTTTCGGCCGATTCGGACAGAGACTAGGAGAGTACAGGATTCTGCTTATGCATATCTCCGGCTTCAAAAGTAAGCCCATAACCTCAGCTCTTTACAGGACCTGAGACCTAGGAGTCCTTACCCTATCCCGAAATCCCTTATCTTCTCGTAAATCCACGAAGACGAACCAGTCAGTTCGGACCAGTGGGGCCAGTAAGCCTTGCAGCCGCTCGCAGGGTTAGCATCCTTTGAGGGTCTATAAAGTATTTCATCTGATGACAGCCAGAAAATGTGTGTATTACAAAAGCCCTTTTATGTTCTGCCATTCGTTTGTTAAAGTTTCTACCAGTTAGACCGATGTAAGTTTTTGGGCAGTCGCCACATTTAAGTTTGTACACACCACTGTGTAAGTGTTTTTTATTTTGGCTCTTGTTGTTTTTGATATGTTTGCCTAGGTTGTTATTTGTTCGGAAAGCTGGTGTTATTCCTTTCTTTTTTATGTGTTTGGCTATTTTTGTTGTAATTTTGCCTGTACATGTAATCAAACAGAAAGTACTGGGTTTTTCTCTGGTGGTGGAAATGCTAGTAATAGATCACTTGAGAAAGGCAATCAGCCGAAACAGCTGTAGTGATAAGAGTTAAAGTAAATTTTTGTGGAAGTTTGAAAACGAAGTTTTCAGTGTTTTATTGTTACATTCATAAAATCCCAAATAAAAAACGGATATACTAATCATTTAGAAAGATTTAGTTCAAGTTGTATGGGCTTGGCAAAATAGGAGTTTTATCGGTTCTGTCTAGAAGAATAGGAAATCGCTCTGCATGTTTTATGTACTGTAAAGATCCCACAAGTCGCAGTATCTATAACTAGGAGAGAAAATCCAAAAATATCACTCTATATGGTAGGACCCTTCTTTAGTCTGTGGAAGCTCATTAAGAAGATACATCTAGATGGGGAGTTTTCAGTAAAAAGATATAATATATCTGTAAAGGTAGCAGTGTCTTTGGCCTAGAGCCGCCTTAGTTTGCATTAGACTGCAACCCGATTGTCTTTACTAAGCATTGTTTATTATATCTAAAAGGCTGCGCCGAATAACGATTCAACATATATCAACATTAAGTTAAGGTTCGTTTTTGTGTTGACCAGGGTAAAATGTGAAAAATGTAAATGGGACGTTTCAGCTCTGCTTCCTAGATGTTCAATAACAAAGGAGTGATAATAAGTAAAAATAATCATTCCATAGTTAGTCTATGTATGATTTTAGAATCTAATTGTGAGAATTTAAAATGCAGACCGCCCGATATTTGTTAGAGATAAATAAAAAATAACTAAAGACCTTGGTTACCCAAAAATCTATTTTGCCAAGAAATTTTAAAGCAAAAATTACATCTAACTATAATAATAATAATAATCATAACCTAAGTGAATACTACCCAGGACAAATTAAATGTTGTACAAGTGTATACCCCTGGCAGCAATAAAAAAGAAGAAGAGATAAAGAACTTGCTAGATGTTCTTGATAAAATAATTTAAAGGACTAAAAAAAAGGAGATATACTTATAATTTTAAGTGACAAATTAGAAAATTGGTAACGGGAAAAGTAGTGAACTCTTTGGTGATTTTGGTCTAGGGAAGAGAAATGAAAGGGGAGAAAGAATAAAACAAAGACGCGGGTACACCTGGATCTCCCTGCCAGATCAACCAGGAAACGTGATACAGAATCGATTAGATAACATAATGGTAAACAAGGGATTCTGCAATAGATGTCTATTAGTTGAAAGTTGTTTCGATGCTGACATATCATCAAATCATGTCTCTGTTGTAGATAAATTTAGGTTTGGATTTAAGAAGGTTACAAAAAAGCAAAGTAACAAAAAAATACGATATGATAAGACTAAAAAGTAAAGAAACAAAAGAAACAGTCGCGCTGATTTTTTTAAGAGAAGCTAAGTAATATGGAGCACACAAATAATGCAGAAGAATCACTTCATAATGTATGTGATACCTTTAACAAGATCAGAGAAGAACATCTAATATAAAAGAAAGAGAAGAGAAGAGAAAAAGTTGGATGAACAAAAATATACTGCTACTACCAATATAATAAACTCATGAAAGAAAGTAGAAAATCAAAGAACAACAAAAGAATGTACAACAATGTTCGAAGACAAATGATAACAGAAATACAAAAAGTCAAAGAAAGTTATTTAAAGTCACAATGTGAAAAGATAGAGTTGTCGGAACAAAAACATCACATGCTTAGGAAGCATATGTTGATAATCAGTTGGTCTATAGACATCCAAAATAGCTACGGCTGACAACTTTGTGTGGTTTAACAAAACAACCGTATATTATTTCAGAACAGCAGTCTGAAGTACAGATTTCCATGCTCGTAATCGCCAACATCCAGTGCCAACAGATAGACATTACAAGAAGAAAACTTACAGGTTTAGTAATTGAAAGATGCCGGTTTACAAAGTTTACTACTTGAAAATATTCTGTTTAACGAGGAAGCGAACTTTAATTTAATTGGACAATTGGACACAGTAACATGCAGAATACCTCTACTGGACAAGAAAGTTCAAACCCACAACTTTTTAGATTAAAAGTGATTGTTTTAACTGCAGCGTCCTGTGAAAGTATCACCAGTTTGTATTTTAAGCAAAACCAATGTAGGTGACAACTCATCATAAATTATGATCGTAACTGCAAAATTCTTAGAAGCTTTTTGGCCCAATAGTAACAAAAATTTTAAGGATATGAACCAATACATACCTTTAGTAATACATTATAATATATCAACAATTTTCAAATAGAAAGAGTAAAGAGGTAGAAGCACTTAAGAACATGGTTAGTTCATAATGCAAAGGAAATTCAAGAAGATAAAAGTCGTAGTAAAATAGCTAGAAAGAAATTTGTAAATACGAAGACAATATTATCCAACAAAAATCGAAAGATGGACACAAGGTTACTGCGTAGCTTTGCTTCTACAACGCTACTCTACCGTTCTGAGGCCTGGGCGCTGAAACAATTAGAAATAAAAATATTGAAGGCGTTTGAACACTGATTCCATCGTAGAATGCTGTAACAGAGTTACCAATGTTGAAATCCTAGGCACAGTTATTACAAATGAAAAACTAAAAAAATTAATTTCAAATCCTTTATAAAAGGTATATAATAAAATACCCAAACGGGCTATCACTATTACATTACACAACGTTTTCGAAATGTTAATTCCATCATCAGTGTAAACCTGAAAGTGTATAACCACTTTAATTAAAAATAACGTTGAATTTAAAATGTTGACTAAGGTTAAAGCAAAATATGGTTAATACTTACGGGGTATACATGCTATGAGCTACCAAAATATATGAGCCAAAACCCGTTAAATGTTATAAATTTATAGTTGTTTTACATTATATATAATTACAAATTAGGATGTTTAAGTTACCGTTGGAATTGGTAACATGGCGACCTATGACCCTACATAAGTTATATAGTCCTGGGACGAAGTGTCTTCGAGGACCTGTTGATAACAACTGATAAAAATGACATTGTTGACATGTTAGGACGGATGTTGGGTCAGAGCAGTCGGTATAACTTAAGGTAGTTGTCTAAAAGTGACATAAGCCAGCATTATTTAAAATTGAAAAAGTTAAAATTAGAATAATGTAACAATATCAACATTGAAATTCCAATTTCAAAGACCCCATCAATTATATGAACCTTAGTAGTGTTTATAGACTAAAATGTTCTGATTATGATGCCACCTACATAGGAAGAACATGTAGATCAGTATCTTCACGCTCTTTAGAGCACATAAAAAGAGAAAATACTTCCACTTTCTCTCAACATCTTAAAGAACACAACCACACTCTCAATATCCCAGAAGATGTCTCACTTATTCATAATATCCCACAAAAAAACTTTCTCAAACTAGACTTATATGCGAATAACGCTAAATATGGCTTTCCGCCAAGCACGAATAACCTTGTTCTGGGTCTTCTTTCTTTTTCTCTTTTTCTCTAACTAATCGGTCTATCAAGTAGCGTTTATCTAGCTGGGCCATTTTGTTCCAGGTGCATTATATATCCTATCCACCACAGACGTCCTATCTTAATATATCCTGTTCCTAGAATATTCTAGACAATTAACTATCTTTTAATAACCCTAGTCATAAGCAATATATTCCACAATTATCGTTTTGTTCACTTTCTAGCGAAAATTATTTATGCCGCTAAATTAGGTACATTATGTAATGCATCTTTTCAAACTTTGATTGTGCATATTATCAAATCTTTAATTTTTATAAATATTTCTTATTTTAAGGTAAAATGAAAATGATGTTTCCCACAATGGTATCCTGTTCAAGTGGCCTTAAGGACCTCCTTAAAGAATCGGCTGACCTCCAAGATGTCGTCGATATCAAAGAAATAATATCCAGATTTACCACCGACGTCATCGGATCAGCTGCCTTTGGTCTCGACTGCAATAGTTTGAAGAATCCAAACTCCGAATTCAGAACATTTGGTAGGAACGTTTTCAAAGGAAGCACTTGGCGAAGAATCAGACGCACTTTGATCAACACATTGCCCGAAGGCTTAGTAACTTTCTTCCGCGTAAAACGGACACCAAAAGAAATTGAAGAGTTCTTTATGGGTGTAGTAAATAGTACTGTCAAATATAGAGAAGAAAACAAAGTGTTTAGAAAAGACTTTATGCATTTACTTCTGCAACTGAAAAACAAAGGATATACAACTGATGATGAAGACTTTTTAGGTGCTCCAGATAAAATCAGTAAAGATGGTAACTTGTTGACCTTGAATGAGGTAGCAGCTCAGTGCTTCGTCTTTTTCTTAGCAGGTTTCGAAACTTCTGCTACTACCGTTACTTTTGCCCTAATGGAGTTGGCGCAAAATCCAGATGTGCAAGAAACATTACGAAAAGATATAAATACTGTTCTGAAGAAACACAATAATGAAATGACTTACGAAGCTATAATGAGTATGAATTATTTGGATCAGGTAGTTAATGGTGAGTACAGTGATTTATTAGAACTAAATCTGGGGCATCATCAAGCATACACAAGTAATAATACAATAAAAGATTATGAATTTAAATGCGTTTTGTTGGCCATAACCTAATGCGGTGGCAAGATAAGTTTAAATATTGTTGACGTTGACATTACATTTCTTTTATTTTCATTAGATCGTTTGTAACTATACTAGGCTATATTAAGTCGTACTATGCCTTTACTAATCTCAAAAATATCAAAATTTCGGTTTAATTCTGAATTTTATTATCGTTGTCAAGAAGAATACTAATTTAAACAGTTAAAAACATAAACCTTCCTCGTATTTTAAGAAATTTTTATTTCTATTTTATTTTACTATGTTCTTCTTATATCATTATCTCTCTTCTCTTTCCTCTCTCTTTCTATTTACCATGTTAATAAGGATCTAAATTAATCTAATACAAATCATGAATGTGTTGCTTGTGTGAGTCCATTTCAAATAGGTAAAGACTTACTCACAATTAATTTAATTTAACTATCAGACGACCGGTTTCGCTTTCTACAATATGCAAAGCATTTTCAGGTCTCGATACAAAGTTAAATAAATGCTGAAATGATAAAAACCCATATTAGGGTGTTGTCTAATAAAAATAAACAAATTAGATGTTGTAAATTACAATAATTATGCCAATATTACATGTCTGTGGTTTTATTTCAAAATGAATAAATTGAATAAAAAGGTATAAAAAGTTTTAAAAGTTTAAACAGACAAGGTAAGACCCACAAATTGTTATAAAATAGTCTATTAGATGTAATATTGGCATAATTATTGTAATTTACAACATCTAATTTGTTTATCTTTATTAGACAACACCCTAATATGGGTTTTTATCATTTCAGCTTTTAATTAACTTTGTATCGAGACCTGAAGATGCTTTGCATATTGTAGAAAGCGAAACCGGTCTTCTGATAGTTAAATTAAATTGATTGTTAGTAAGTCTTATTTATTATTTATTTACCTATTTATTCTAATACAGTTAAATAAATGCTTCAGCTGATCTCAGTGTTTCATAGAATGAAACATCCGACATTCAACAGCTAGTTGAAATAGTAAATAATTAATCTTTCTTATGCCAAGGTACTTTGATAAGACCAATAAGATGCTTATAAACATTACAATCTGATTAAGCAATAGGACCAATGAGAAACTTTTTATAGCCTAAATCATAACTAAAAATTTGACACTAAGGGCAAATTCACTAATATTTCTTTGGTTCTATTAATTCATTGTACAAATATTAACTTGTACCATCATATTACTTGCACGATACTCTACCGTTCGCCCAGCCAACTCGAAGGTTTTCTTCCTCTTCTCTTATTGTTGAGGATTGTTAAGTCGTTGTTTGTGACAGCAAATTTTTCAATGGTGTTGTTAACAGTATCCATTTCTAGGTCCGTATGGAAGTCACTGTTCCTCTAGGACCAAGGAGCATTGACAATGCTCCTTAACACTTTATTTTGGATTCGCTGGATGTTTTCCAAATGGCTCTTACTAGCACAACTCCATAGCTGGATAGGATATGTGCATGGAGGTTTTAAAATCTATTTATACAAAATTATTTTGTTGCAGATTGACAGGATTTATTATCTTCCCAATAGCCAATACATTTTTTTGTACTTGATGTTGAGCTATTCATCATCAATTTTTCCATATCTATAGTAAGCGACTCATTTTGTTTTTGATCATCGCAAACGCATTCGAAGCTCTTTTTCGCAAATTCCATCGTCATTAATCATAAACCATAAGCAGTTGAAACTGTCTATTGTTTCACACTTATGTGAGCGGTATATTGGTTGTAAAACTCTAAATCTGCTTACTGCTATTATCTGAGTCTTGCTTTTATTAATTTTTGGTCCGAATTTCTTGCTCTTGACTTGTACTTTTCGTAAAAAATCCAGAATTTTTTGTTATGTAGCCACAGCTACTCCACCAAGCCACCCAACTAGTGACTTTCCCACAATAGATTTACCATATACATTAAAAAGCACGAGTGATTACACGCATCCTTGTCTAATGAAGTTTTCTCTTTTAACACGAGTTAAATATTTGTGACCTAATTGATTCGATAACATTTGTCTTTCAGTTGTTTTTAAAAATTTGGTGTTTCTTTTATTGGACTCAAAGTCAAGACTTGACGGTCAACACCAGAAGTATTGCTTATCGCTAAAACAGTCTGTACCAGGGTACATTTTTCAATTGAAGGCTGATGAATATTTTGATCTATTTATCTTGAAAATAAAATAAATTCAATTTCTTATTCATCCATCGGAGCTGAAGACTATCTCCTTTTTCGTTTCCTTGTCTTAGTCCAAAACTTTTTATATTCTTTGCAGTAGTTTCATCAGTTTTAAAATTTTAATATATTAATAATTAAAATATCAAAATATATTTAAGATATACATAGATCTATCAGTTTGTGACTACATCTTTTTTTTCAATTATTTGTAGTTTTCCAGGATTCTGTATCAATGCTTGAATGTTTTTGAATGATTTTTTACTTTGCTTAATATTTAGTTTTGGGTGAATTTCAGTCATAGTTTATCTGCAAGGTGCCTAATCCCTTGCACCTTGATAGCCAGTAGCATATTTCATCTGATCCGAAACAGACATGACGTTAAGGGTGTCATTTGTTCTATTCGTATAGAGTAAAACTCTTTTGAAAAATACAGATGCAGTAGTTTTCCTTTGCTTTCTACATAGCATCGTTTTTCTCCAATATATTGGGTAATTATCATCATGATCATCATTGGTTCTACAGGCGTTACAACCCATTGTGGGTTTTGGCCTATTCTAGGATAAGCTTCTAGTCTATCTTATCCTTTGCCTTGGTTTTTCAATTTCGAACGCTTAACACTCGTAAGTCGTCTTCCACTTGGTCCTTAAATTATGCTCTAAGCATGCCTTGACTCCTCACTTCATTCGGTCTTTGGCTATATATGTGTTTCTTCGGGTTATGCTACTTGCTTATAATTTGTCACCTTAATGTGCTTAGTTTTACTAGTATTAACGTATAGCCACATGCTTTTACTACCGCTTTCAATGCCGTGAACGATTGGACCAAGTCTTTTTGCTACGATATTGATGATTTTCGCATACGCTAGTATTTGTATACTTCTATTAATAATGGTTCCTTTAATTGTTATTCCAGATTCTCTAATAGCTTTATTTTAATTTTTAATTTTAACAATCTTGAATAGAAGGCAAGATATGATATTCCGTTCTGCACTATATTCTAACACTCAACTGTTAAGAGGGTTGCATTATGCATTTTCAATAAGTGTGTTGGGATATTCAATTCTACCATGGCTTTGTAGAGTGCGTTCCTCTCTATACTGTCATAGGCACATCTAAAATCTACAAACAAATGATGATTATCAATTTTTCACTAAAGAATCTAGGCCAATAATTTGTGGGTCTTCGGGAGGGTAATTCCTCTATAGTTATCACAAAATGTTTGATCTCCTTTCTTAGCAACAGATTTTTTAGGCCTTGTGTTAAAAGCTAAAAAGGAATAAAATCTGCTTCAGGAGCTTTTGTTTTCTTTCAATTTTTGTATTGCTTTGATGACTTCTTCCTTTGTTGGAGTGTTATCTTTCTCTTTTTCGTCTTTCATGTGTTAGATCTAAATTTCTGAATCTTGCAACCAAATCTCACTTCTTATAATTAGTCTCTCCTCAAAATTATCTGCCTATCTCTTTAGTATGTGGTCCTAATCACCAATGATCTTGATATTGGTTAAGACAAAAGTAAAAATAAAAAACAGTGGTATATATATATTTTGCTTAGCTCTTTCTTTTTTATTTTGCTCTTCCAAAATTTTATACAACAAATGAATGACAGATCATAATCAAGGAAAGATTTTATAATAGCTTCAATCTGTTTTTCTAGTAGAGCCAGAAGATTTTGTGATCTCTAATCATTTTCACTAAGTCTTTTTTGACGTTTATATGATCACTTAATATACAGTTTTCAGATTTCAGATCATTTAATTTTTTAATTGTTATCTTTGTTTTTTACGAGACATTGTTGGCTTGAGAAACCATTTCTATCCACTGTTCCAATAACTACCCAATCTATAAAATGTTCACTTTGGAAAGATTCGAATAATTTTAAGACTTTTACTTATATTGTACTTTTATTGTACTTTTATTGTAGTTTCATTTTTTTTTTACTATTTTTGTTACTCTAAATTATCTATTTTTACGTCATTTCTATTATTTGTAGAAACGTTAAGGAAACATCCTCCGGCATCGTTGACAGGACGAGTCTGTAACACTGCCTACAAAGTTCCTGGAACAGATCTCATAATCGAGCCTGGAGTTAAAATTAGAATCCCAATTCAGGGAATTCACAGAGATCCCGAATATTATCCAGATCCAGAAAAGTTCGACCCAGAGAGATTCAGTGAGGAAAATAAAGCTACAAGACCCAATTTTACGTTCATGCCTTTTGGAGAGGGACCACGAATGTGTATTGGTAAGCATATTTTTATTATATTGGTCTTCGTATATCATCACTATGACTATTATCATATTTATAATCATTAAAATTGCTCTTTAAGATCAACTCATAAAAAATATAATATATTGTACATATTAAGTGGACCAACAAAATTATCCTCATCATCATTGGCTTCACAGCTCATCTTGGATCTTAATCCTCTTCATTTATTTATATTTCTAGATTTCGTTCTCGAGGTACTAGTTTTGAGTTGACGAGTTTCGCTTTCCGACCATTTGTTGCTAAGTTATGATTTTTGCTGGTTCAAAGGAAGACATGCACTTCCTCTGAATTGCTCTGAATTGATTAACATGTATTTGGATTTACCAAAATTTACCTCTGGCCTCATCTTTATGCCGGATCTTTCTATACCGGCATGATTCCATCATTTGATAGAATCTTGTTGCGTGGGAGCTATGATATTTACACCATCTGCATATGTTATAATGTGCACGCTCTTGTTTATCATTGTGTCCCTAAGTTTGTTTTTTGAGCAGAAGAAAATATAGTTACGAAAGCTGAGATACATTTATGGGTGAAATCAAGAACCACGATAATATTCATAACGATAGATTCGCGAAACAATATCCATGGCGCATAAAGCCATGACAGTTTTAAATATATCTGAGAAAGTGTGGCCAGCTTAAGATTGTAAAAGGAGAGCAATGATAGGAACATAACAAAAAGCAAATATATAAAGTTCTATTTAGCAGTAGCTATTTTTAAATGAAAAAAATATTTTAATTAAGTTTTTTTTATAAATATGTTTATTAACAATCTACATCAGAAAGAGTATTAAGTAAATGTGATACAGGTTTTGCGCGTGAAAGAGAGACATCCAATGATGTCTCGCCTTATTCTATTTTGGTTTAGTTCTGAAGAAGGTCTTGGGGCCAGGTTCTGTCTAGTCTTCTTGTGGCTGGACCGTTGTTGTATAATTCCCCTAATTAAGTTAAACCAAAACTTTTTTGATCCTATCAGGTGATTATCGGCAAGCCTCAATTACACCATGTATGCAGCCACACAATAAGGAGCTTTAAAAATCTTTTATTGACATATTAAATTCTAATTTAAATAAATCAAAAAACTGTCCAAAGATTTAAGTCTAAAGAAAGATCTTGATCCCTAACTTAATCAGAGGTAGCACTAAAGCTTTCTTACCAGTACGGCAGAGTTATCAGACTTTTTCTTTCACCTGCTATTATAATTTATGTGATATGTTGGTTCACTGTAGATGAATTATTAAATTTAAAAACTCAGGTACCATCTAGGACGAACTAATAGATATTTTACTTCAAAACTCTCAACTTGTTAATTGTTGGGCGTTCATTTTTTATTAATAAATATCAAAAATACATTATTATTATTGTTTTTATATATTTCAGGGGCAAGATTTGGTTTGCTTCAGGTCAAAGTAGGATTAGCCACAATAATAGGAAACTTTTCAGTAACTTTAAACGAGAAAACACTGACTCCCATCAAATATGATCCAAAAGCCATTATTTCTGGCGTCAAAGGAGAAGTCTGGCTAAATGTTCGTTCTGTACATTAAACAGTATTACAAGACTCAAATAGTATTTTTAGGTGACATAAAATAGATAATAAATTAATGTAATAAATAGTTTAAAGTATGTTCAAATAAATAGTAAAAAATATTTGTTAATGACCTTACAAAAAAAGTTTATAAAAATTGGTTAAAAACACATAACTATGAAAATCGGTATTTTTCGCATATGCGTTCTTTATGCGAAGAATACTGTCCTTTTGAATCAGAAGTACAAAACGGTTTTGGAGCAGGAAGATCCACAATAAATAGTATTTTCTGTTTATCCCAAATACTCGAGAAAAGAACACTGAGATCTCGAGAAGTGCATTTACTTTTAGTAGATTTAACAAAAGCATATGACACCGTGCCTGGTGCGAAATTGTGGGAAGTATTGGAGAAAACCAGTATTAGCGTTCCACCAATTAAAGATCTATATATATCAACACAATATCAAAAGTTAAAATAGGAAATAAGGTTTCTAATGGTTTTCAGGTAACAAAAGAACTGAAGCAAGGTTGTTGTTTATCTCTCATACTATTCAATATATATCGACGAAGCACTCAGGCACTGTGTGTACTGTTTGGTTTGTTTAAGTTTGAGATCTTGTTCCGGACTATTTTTCGCTCGTTTGTTATTTTGAACTCTTTGCTATTCTTCATCATTTGTTTTAGCTGTGCTTGGTTGGTGATATTGCGATAATGTACTTTAGACTGAATTGTGGTATTGAGGTTGAGGTAACTGCATTGATTGGTTTGGCTGGCTTTGAGCGAAATTAGCTGGATTTGTGATACAAGATATGGCCCCATTTGCATTTGTTGTGGAAAATATCCTAGCTGTTAAGCAGGTAAGTTTTGATGGCCGAGGTTGATTTGGCGTGAAGTTGGACATTAAGAGTATGAAAATGGATGTGGATATAGATAATATCCGTTGGACATATTGATTTAAATATTAGTATTTTTATTCTGAATTTCAAATAAACCCTGGATTATAGTAAATTATGAATACATTTGTAACATTTTTTATAATTAATATATTAAATTATTTTTAATTCCTTTTAACCCCGTGATGATACGCTGATGGTCGTGTTTACGATCAGAAATTTTTATTGGGAAAATACTGAAATATAACTGAAGAATCTACCTAGCTATTTATTTAAAGACGCCGGTTTGGCTAATTCTTAGTTAATCCTTTTCCGGGTCTTTTCATAAATTCGGTAATTGTCGTCGAACGCCCGTGGTAATGTTTTTCGGGAAAAACCTAATCTAGAAGATTTATATTTTATCACGTCCAATTACTATTACCGTAAATACCTCAAACTTTTCGATGTCGTTAGAATCCAGGTTGGCCTACGATTTTTAAGAGGGAGATATCCCTCCTTCTTTTTTTGATTTAAGTTTGGTAAAATTTTAGAGGAACCTTTTTTACTTCTAGTGGGGCGATCATTGAGTAAGGTCGCTTGTCTAAAATTATCGTCTCTTACCGTCTCTCTGCATTTCTTTCTCTAAGTGTGTATACACTTTATATTTGAGTTTTCTTTTTTTATACTATATTAGATTATATATGGTTCTAAAGTACCTTTAATGTTAATTAAAGTCAGTGTTGGATACAAGTAAAGTATTAAGTACAGTATATAGCTTCAGTGAAGTACCTAGCGCCGCAGTCGTCAAGATTTTCTGTAAGTAATCATTATCTTTAAATTATCTGGGCGAGTAATATGGTATGGTATCATATCATTTGCCATTATCTGGACGTATCTAAAGTTTCTCCAAGACTTCACCTGTAGATTGCTGATTTTTGCAGTCAATTTAAAGAACATTTCAATAGATTCAAGAAATTTCAATAAGTAATAATTATAAACATTTAAGTCTCAGTTTCTCATTAAATAATAGTGCAAGATAGTTAATCCACTTAACCAAGTGCGGTTTGGTTAAATTCTTATGTTTTCATTTCTGTAACCTTTTTGTATTTTTGTAAATTTAGAATTGATTAATTTTTTTATCTTTTGTGTTGGTTATAACTTTTATTCATTTTTTTTGCTGTAATATCTCTTATCCTATCTTTACTTATTTCATACGTTGGACCCATTCTCGGTTTCAAACCTTAGTTTCGAACCGAGGACTCGCTCTCCACCAACCATCTGACTGCCGTCCGCAGTGTCTCCATTGGTGACCTTTCTAGCACCATCCAAAAAAAGGTTTCCGAGGTTATACATTTTATCATCACTTCTGTAAAATTTGAAAACATATGCGTATTGTAAAAATGACGAGATGTTATGTGCTCATACTTAAAATCGTCTAAGTAAATAAGCATATTATTGTAATTTTAAACGTCATATCTGTCATCCGCTTTCATTCCTGCTATCAGAAAAACATTCAAATATGTATTTTTGTATGATATTATTGTATTAGTTTATCACAAAAACTTTATATGAAGGACCTTGAATGTGTATGCGCCAAATAAATAGAAACTGCAACTACTATTCCCTTCTTTTTTCAATTTTAGTTTCTCTCCTTGCGTCATAAGAAAGAAAATTTGCGCGAAATGCAATCAAATCTACAGTTTTATTATCATTCGACCTAGAATAGTGTTAGAGATGGTTACGTTTAGTTCGCTGTATATATTAAATATGTGTATTGATATGTGTCGTTTAGATATGTGATTAAATCTGAATAGTTCGATTATTTTAAAAGTAGTAGGTATTGCATACATTGCGAACAAGGATACGAATACGCTTATGGTAAGAAATTTTAAATAAATAAAACAAAAATACTTTTGTGGATCATGTATTGCAAAAATAGGTTCCAGTTTAATGCGATATTAAAATAATTATATAGTGGTGTATCAGATTCTATTAAACATTTATTTGGAAATACACCATCAGTATCACAATAATTGGCTACTTATTTATTGTTTTGACTTTCAAATTGCATGTAAAAGATGCCACATTTATAGCAATTTATAAATTATGAATGATTTATGGTAATTTGTATAAATTGTTTGATTCTACTTATGTAACTTTCGATTTAACTTATTTTAGACTTGGTTGACCATTTTGTTGTTGCTTCCCTTTCGACAGAAATATTGTTTTCACAGTTAGATCTTCTGTAAATAGTTGCTCTGATGATTCAGTTTAGAATGAAATACCTGTAAACGAATATACAGAGGCACTATACGTATAATCAAATCTTAACTGGCTTTCTTTTATTTCGATATACTGTTTATGAGTACAAGAAACAAATTCGCCAAGGATTTTTGCTTACTTACTTACTTACTCCGTGGCGTTACAACCCTTCGTGGGTTTTAGCCGACTCGACAACATGCCTCCACTGTTTTCTGTCTTGAGCAACCTCCATCCAATTCTCCACGCCCATAGTGCTTAGGTCTCCTGCTATATTATCTCGCCACCGGAGACGAGGGCGTCCGCGTGGTCTCCTTCCCGTTGGGACTTCCTCCTATACCAAGCTTACTGTTCGTTCGTCAGAATGTCTTTTGAGGTGTCCTGTCCATTGGAGCCTTCTGGACTTTATTTCTTTTATGATGTTGGCGTCTGGGTAAAGTTATTCCAGGACCAAAGATCTTCCTTGGGATTTTTCTTTCCCAAACAGATAGACTCTCTTCGTTTGCCTTTGTTATCGTCCACGTTTAGCTTCCATACATCATAACGTGATGTATGGTCACGTATAATTGTTTTATAGACCTGTATCTTCTTAGGTCGTGTTAGTTGTTTCGATTTTATAAGGTTTTGGAGGGCAAAAAGACATATGTTGCCGGACTGAATCCTGTTGTTACGCGCTTCATCCAGCACAGGACCAAAGATCTTCCTTAGGATTTTTGTGATCCGTTATTGTCTTCAGTTATTGTTGTTCCAAGATACTTGAATTCTCAAACGTGCTTAAAGTTAAATACATCGATGGTGATGTTCTGACCGATTATACCTCTGCTTTGATTATTGCGGCTCATATAGATATATTTCGTCTTGTTTTCGTTGATTTGGAGCTCCATCTTCTCTGCTTCCTTCTCGAACCTCAAGAAAGTCTCCTTCATCCTTAATCGTGTGTTTCCTATTAGATCGATATCGTCTGCAAATGCCAGTAGTAAGTTTGGTCCTTCACGATGAAATACTGTATTCGGTTTTTCGATTCTTGCACTTCTGATTATGTGCTCCAGAGCTAAGTTGAAGAGTTGTGGTGAAAGTGCATCTCCCTGTTTTAGTCCATTGTTTATTTTAAATGTCTCCGAGTATTCTTGTTCAACTCTTACCTTACATCGTAACCGTTCCATACACATCCGTATCAACCTGACTAGTGTTTTTGGAAAGCGAAGATCCTGCATCGCTGTCCACAGTATGTCCCTGCATACTCTATCAAATGCTTGTTTAAAATCTATGAACATCTGATGAAGCTCACGATCAAACTCCCATTATTTAACCCATTATCTATTTTATTGTGAATATCTGGTCAATAGTAGAGCGACCCGGTCTAAATCCGCATTCACAATCTCCAACGATTTCTTCTGTGTGTGTTGTGGTTCTTTCTAGCAGGATGTTTGCAAGGATTTTGTAGGTGGTGTTTAGGAGTCTTATTTTCCTGTAGTTAATAAATACCTTTTTGTATTCTTTTTTGTGTATTGGTATAATAACCCCTTATTTCCATTCATCTGGCATTGTTTCTTCTCGCCAAATGTCTTGAATTAGCTTGTATATAGAACTCTACAATGCTTCTCCTCCATGTTTTAAGCACTCTGCAGGTATACCATCGTTACCTGGTGTCTCATTATTTTTAAGTTTTTTAATTGCCTGTATTACTTCTTCGTATGTCAGGTATTGGTTTTCTATTTCAGCTGTATGTACCTTTATGTTTGATGTATTTCTGCTAGATTGGTCATTCAATAGTTGATAGAAGTATTCCTTCCAGGTTTTTAGGATTTCCTTGTCATCCGTGATAAGCTGTCTACTGTCGTTTTGAAGGAAGTTTCCTGTTCTTGAAATTCCTTTGAAGAACTGTCTCGCTTATTTGTTCTTTCTTTTTGTTGTATATCTCTGATTATTTGTTCCTCATACTATCTCTTCCTCCTTTTCATTAGTTTTCTTGTCTCTGTTCTTCTTTGTCTATACATTTCACTATTATTGTGCGAGGGTTTTGTAGCATGTTCCTTCTAGCCATATTTCTTGCTGTTATGGAGTTCAGGCAATCATCATCGAAAACTTTTTTGTTGTTTTCTTTTTGTTTCCTAGTATTTCATCTGATACCCTTGTCAGAGCTAATTTGATATTTTTCCAAGCTGAGTCTACGTTGTTATAGTCTTCTGTCTATGTTAGAGCGATTTTTATAGCCTTTTGAAATTTCTGTTTTGTCTCCTTATTACGTAGAACTTCGGTATTCCATAATTGTGTTGGTGTATTCTTGTGTGTTTTTTTTTTGACGCTATTCTTGTCCTTATCTTCGCTTTTACCAGAAAATGATCCGTGTCTCCATCAGCTCCCCTTAGGCTTCTTACGTCTAGGCAGTTACTACCCCTCCTGGCATATACTAGAACATGATTTTTTTTAGTTGAGGAGATATGTTGTGAAATGCAATTTTAGGTTCCCATTTTCTCTCTTTACATCTTTAGCAACGGCTATTTTGCCTTGCAACTCTTAGAAGGCATAGATTAAAGCAAAAATCTGGATTTTGGTTTCGTCAATAGAAATCTTCGGATTTTTACTTTCGTGAATTATTAGACCTAGTTTATGTTTTTCTTGTATGTCGTTCATTGTACAAAGTACGTGGCACCCTGGCAAAGTACTGAATATGAGTCGAAATTTCACCCCAAAAAATTTTAAACCCTTAAACAATGACGTGGGACTTTTTGGGACCTCAGGAGCAGAATTTTTAACCTTCAGTTTAATCATGGCCAATTTTATCCCTGAAATCTCGTATAGCTGAGTTTTTTACGGTTTTTTTTTACAACTTCTAATGTCTTCCACTAAATTTAAATAATTAACATCCATGAAAACTACACTTTGACTAGAGAGGTTTACGTTAGATCTTTGGATATATAATATTTTTTAATTTTTGGTGGTAATTAAGACTTTTAAGTACTGTTATAAATCCACAAGGAAAATGGAATTCATTAGTTGACTGTATACCATCAATCCCAAAATTTATTTAAAATCCTTTATAAAAGGTATATAATTTAAAATCCAATCATCCCAGAATGTTTTAGGAATAAAAAGCCCATCATCAGTGTTTTGGTACCTGGAATAAGTGAAAATCCTTGAATACCATTAGCCATTTCTTTTTTAAAACACACGTTTACTTAGTAAAATTATTCGTTTCCATAAAAAATGATCATAGTCATCAAGTGTTGGGGTCACTAATGGACCTTTACGTAATAAAATTGATCGTCGTTGTTTATAAATATTTTTAAATTGTAACTAAATATTTTAAGTAAACTGTATTATTGATTAAAAATACTAAATTTAATAAAAAAAGGTCTTACCAACACAATGGGGCAAAAGAGTTTACCTGAAACAAGAAACATTATATTAAAATAAATTATTAAAATTTAAAATCAATAAAAAATGTATCATGCAACATGATAATTGTTAGGATTATCCATTTTTGTTCATAATATGCCTTCTTCTATAAAACACATCTGAAAGATAGAAATAGAGTTATTTTCAACTATTTCAAAGGTCGATATGTCATAACATTGTGTTAAGTGAAAGTTTCTTTTAGACTCCTGCTTTTCTCTGTCCGACTCAAACTTCATTCGCAATTCTCAGAAAGGAGAATAAAGGTTTAGGCGAAAATCATTTCTTAACACAACAATTTTAACATATTTTAATTCCTTCGCAGTTGTACCTCAAGTTTCCATTCTCGCACCGATGCTATACGCCATATGAAACAGCGACTTCTATTCACGACAGGTATAACAAATAATTTAGTTCAGACTATGGCAAGGTCGACTTTACTTAAGAGATCAGATCACGTACTTGAACTGCGGACTTCATCGGAAAGCAACCCTAGATAAAGTAAGATAAAAAGTTCGACTTTATGGAGCAAATTTCGACAGTCAAAACACTTCTACCTACATACAAAACGTACATACTCTAACTGAATATAGAGTCACGATAACATCTTCTGTCCACTCAGTCACAATGTGGCACATAAGGTGCATAGTTTAAAAGAAGATATTCTCCACATAAATATACTTCCTATATATATGGAACATCAACTACATGTACGAGAGACTTCGTCTCTTAGTAGGATTTACACCCAAAAAATCATTTCTGTCCTAAATGTCTGGGCCTACAATATTCTAAAATTTCACTACTCATCTTTCGGTAATGTCAATCCATCCAGAAACCCAAAAAGAAACTCCTTTTTTTCTCCACAAAATTGCTGACCTCTGTTAGAACGGAAAACATGGACATCCTAGAAGAACCTCCATTTTTTACCGTCTTTAGTCAAATGGCTCACTTCGAACTTTTTCGTTGAATACAGATGGATCAGCTTACAAGCCCATTGCACAATTAGACGTGTCTATATGGAGGTAATAGTCACATTTACTCACGTGTACCATACCTAGTGATCTAGATTATGAAGAATTAATCACTTTCCACGTAGATTATCAAGATCAGAGTGCATCGATAAACTTAAATCGTTATATAGGGATCAAGCACCATCTTAAGCACCAGAAATAATTGGTACAATGAATTCAGTCGTTCGAAGAAATCATCGATTATGTGCGTGAACTCATAGAGCAACATCGCCACGTGGTATACCATAAGATTAAGCTATTCTTGAGCATTAGTATGACAAGTTTCAATAAGATATTGCATGATCATTTGGCTATAGAAAATATTTGTTCACGTTGGTTCCCATATATCCAACAAAAGGTCAAAAAGAGGCTCGTGTCAATTGGTGCAAGGAAATGCTAAAGAAATGAGATCGTGGTGTGTATAACATCTAGACAAATGTCGAAACGGATCTATGCATGAGTCCTAAACAAAACAGCAATCGACCTTATGGGTGTTATCATTCTTATCAATCAGTCTTATGACAATGCAAGCTCACACACATCAAGACACACGAAGAAGTTTTTGAACAGCTAAATCATCAAATTAACGGATCATCCGCTGTACAGTCCTGACTTGGGACCCAATGACTTTTTTTATTCCGAACATCAAAAATAAATTGCGTGATCTACGATTTTCGACGCCCGAAGAAGCAGTTGAATCGTTCAAAACCCATGTTTTAGAGTTACCTCAAGCTGAGTGGAAAAAGTGCTTCGAAAATACTTGCTTTTTCATTGTTAGGACAGAAATATAAATAGCAACATCTCGTGTAAATGTTCTATTGTTATACTATTGTTTACGTTATTTTTAAATGTCATATTATTCAATCTATTATAAACGAGATAAGATATGATGGCATTTTATCTAGTGACAGAAAACAATTCTGTTATCATAATATTTCACAAAATCTTTAGCTAATATTTAAATAATGGAAACTAATTACAATATATTTATACTTATCAAGCATATTTTTTAGTCTCATTCTATCAGTGCCGACAAAAATGATCTCACTGATAGTCTTCACTGCAATAGTAGCAACGATTGGATATTTATATATAAAATTTAAATTGACGTACTGGAAACGAATTGGATTAGAACAAATAGAGCCCGTACATCTAATATATGGAAATGCTAAAGATTTTATCACGAGGAATTCCTCTTTTGGTGATTGTCACACAAAGCTATACAACAACTTTAAGTCCAGAGGGCTGAAGCATGGTGGAATCTACGTCATGTTAAGACCTACATACATGCCTCTGGATCTGGATATCATCAAAAATATTTTGCAGAAAGATTTCAACAACTTTGTGAATCATGGGTTTTACGTTAATGAAGAAGTTGATCCTTTGACGGGACATCTTTTCGCTTTAGAGGATGATAAATGGAGAAGATTGAGGACAAAGTTAACTCCAACGTTTACTTCTGGTAAGTCAGTATTACCATACTTTGGTATTAATTTTCTCTTTTCTAGCCTTCTCCCTCCTTGTTCATTTTATCAGGTTCTGCAATATTTTTCCTCCAAATATTTTTTAAAAGTTTACTTTAATTATATCGTTCGTTTATGTATGTAATTCGGAAATTAAATTCGGACCTTTGTGGTGTATTTTATTAAAACAATAAGTAGCTTTGGTCTAATTACTGGGCTTCGTACTCTAAAGAGCTCCGGTATTAATTACTGGACTACGCGTATTTGAATTTTCTGTTTTTTTTTTTTGAAAACTCGAAAGTGATTCAGTACAATTTGTTTCAAGGTTATTTAATTAAGTGCCAAGTAAGGCCCTGGAGGCAGTTTACTCAAATTTGGACATACCAGCGATATAGCAAGTACTTGTCAATTTTATGCATGCAAAACCATTTGTATAATTCATGTTCATTGCAAAGTAGAGACCTTGATAAACATTTATAGCGCATTTACAACTACTAGCACAAGAAAAACAAACGCTATACTCAAGAATACAAAGAACTTAATAAAACAATTAGAAAAGAACTAAAACGCGACATACAAAAATGGAACGAAACTTAATAGAGCGAGTCATTGAAAACAACAGAGGCTTAAAATTTCTAAGACCCGCACTAGGAGTTCAAAAAATCATCAAAATGAAAGACGCTAACAATAAGGAAGAGAAGGACAAATATAAAATAACAAATATTGTCGAAGACTTCTACACATCCTTGTACAGCTCGCAAAGCCAGCCTAATGAAACAACAAAGGAGAATGTCAAAAGAAAAATAAAAAACGCGGTATTAGAAGTACTACCAAATAGAAAGGGATTCGAAATAGAAAGAGCTTTAAAATAATAAAGCTCCAGGATACGACGGTATAATTGCCGAGCTCTTGAAAACAAGCAAGACATTAACAATCCCTGTACCAAAAGAGCTATTTAATAGATTTGTCCATAATAGCAAGATCCCTAAAGACTGGAACGAGAGTCTGGTAATACTCTTACACAAAAAAATGGAAACATGTGATCTACATAATTATAGATCTATATCGTTGCTTAGTCAAGTATACAAACTATTTATGAGAATTATTAACAACCAGTTGACCTACAAAATGAACAATTACCAACCAGTTGAACAGGCTGGCTTCCGCAAAGGACATAGTATATTAGACCATCTGCTGATAGAGAACATTGATAGAGAAGGCAAATGAATACCAACTACCCGTATTTGTTGCCTTTGTTGACTATGAAAAGGCGTTTGATAGTATCGAGATGTAGGCCATAGAACAAGCTATTATTAATTGTAGAATAAATTTGAGATATAGGCAACTAATACATAATATATATATATGAAAATGTAACTATAATAGTACATCTAGACGAAAATACAAATCCCATTCCCATTAAGAGAGGAGTAAGACAAGGAGACGTAATAACGCCAAAGCTTTTCAACCTAACCCTAGAAGACGTCTTTAAAACTACAAATTGGTCAACCTATGGCATTAACGTTAATGGAAACAAGTTAAACCACCTCAGATTCGCTGACGACATAGTACTTATAGCGAGCACATTCGAGGAACTGCAAATTCTAATGGAGAAACTAGCAGGCAGCTCCCAATAGATCGGCCTAAAAATGAATATGAAAAAAACAAAAATAATGACAAACACAGATGACTCCAGACATATAACTATAAATGGCAGTGAGATAGAACAAGCTCAGGAATATATCTACCTAAGCCATATTCTGAAACTTGACAAAGAGAACCAAGGTGCGGAAATTACTAGAAGAACAAGACTAGCATGGGCAGGATTTGGAAAACTTAGTTGGATACTTAAGAACCGCAAAATACCAAAATACTTGAGGAGCAAAGTGTTTAACCAGTGTATCTTTACTATCATGACATATGGATGTCAAATCTGGACACTAACCAAGGTAAACATGAATAAACTAGCCACAACAGAAAGAGCAATGGAAAGAGCAGTGTTAGGACTGTCAGATAAAAAGAGGAACGACTGGGTAAGATCAAAAACAAAAGTCGAGGAAATAACAACAAAAATTGCCAAACTTAAATGGAGCTTTGCGGGCCACACTGCTAGACAGAAAGACCAACGTTGGAATACTACAATACAACACTGGAGACCTTACGAAAGTAAACGACCAAGAGGAAGACCACAGATGAGATGGGTTGATGACATTAAAAGAATAGCCGGAACAAATTGGAAATATGTTGCTCAGGATAGAGACCGATGGAAGGAGTTTGGAGAGGCCTATGTCCAAATATGGACGATAGAACCTTTACTCTTTATTCTTCTCCAACCTTTTTTCCGAACTTCTCATCTTTTTTCTTTTTTTTTAAATTCACCGAATTTTTTTAATATATAACTAATGCAAACATCAACTTAATTTGTTATATGATCAGTATTTATTTTTATTAAATGTCTTAGGCAAAATGAAGATGATGTTTTCTACAATGGTGGCATGTACCGAAGGCCTAAGGGAAATCCTCACGAGTTACGCTAAACTACAAGATGCCGTCGACATGAAAGAAGTAGCGTCGAGATTCACCACAGATGTTATTGGATCCGTTGCTTTTGGTATCGACTGCAACAGTCTGAAGAATCCCGATTCGGAATTTAGACAATTTGGAAGAAAAATATTCACTCAAACAACTTGGACAAGGATAAGAAGTGTTTTAGCTACGACAATACCGAGACATTTTCTAACCATGATTAAATTCAAACAAATGAATCCAGAGGTTGAAGATTTCTTTATGGGTGTAGTAGATAGTACTGTTAATTATAGGGAAAAGAATAATATTTATAGAAAAGATTTCATGCATTTACTACTACAGCTAAAAAATAGGGGAAAAGTTGCTGATGACCATTTGATATTTAGCGAAGAAGATAGTAAAACCGCCGATGGGCATTTTCTTACTTTTAATGAACTAGCTGCACAATGCTTTGTATTTTTCATTGCTGGTTTTGAAACATCAGCAACTACAATGACGTTTGCGCTTCTGGAGCTAGCTTTGAATCCAGATATTCAAGAAAGTTTAAGACAAGAAATTACTTCTGTATTAAAAAAACACGACAATCAAGTTACGTATGAAGCTGTCATGGATATGCATTACCTGGATAAAGTTATACATGGTAAGATATTTTTATCTAACATCTTAAGACTAAACATACTCTTTATTTAATGCTTTAGTTTCCAGATTAAAACTCTTGTTTGGTTAGGTTAAAACAAAACAAATATATTCTCTTAAAAATAAATGAGGCAGCAAAATCCACAGGCCCTTTCGAATCAACAACCCTCTACTGTTGTTCGCAATTTATCAAGTATTCACATATCCGATTCAGCTAACAAAGCTATGTCAAAAGACAATTTCTCTGTCACTAATCTTTCCATCTTAACTCAGAAAATTATTTGTCAAACTGAAGAAATTTCTCACCTTCCTTCCGACCAAGCCGAAGTTGGCAGACAAGATATCGCCAGAATTCTCCGTACTTTCAAAACCCCACCGTCAAAGGAGCCCTGCCCTTATCAAATCTCAAACCCACCTACTAGTTACAGTACGTTGATGACACCTTTGTCATTTGGCCCCATGGTAAAGACACATTAAATCTCTTTTTCTCCCACCTGAATTGAATACATCCACGTATTCAATTCACGATGGAAGTTGAGTCTGAAGTGTCTTTGCCATTCATTGATTTTCTTATTCAAAAAAACCCACTTCACAGTTTCTCTTATTCTGTGTACCAAAAACCCACTCATACAAACCGTTACCTCAATGCCCAGTCACATCATTACCCCACACAACTCAAGTCAGTTATCAACACTCTTGTTTCTCGTTCCACAAAATTTAGCGACAAAAATCAGAGGTCATCCGAAATCAATTCAATAAGGCAAACACTCTTACAAAACGGCTACTACAAAACCCAAGTCAATAGGAGCATTCAAAAACATCTAAACACCATTCCATTCAAAAAAGAATCCTTGCCGCCGGATCGACCCAAAATCTTTTTACCTTTTATTAAAGGGGTCACTGACAAGATTAGTAGAACTCTTATCCCTCTAAATATTCCAAAATAACCATCTTCACTACTCACTGCAAGTTGTCCAATCTCGTCAGATTCGTAAAAGACCAAATCTCAAATGAAGACCATGGTGTCTACGAGATAGCTTGTTCCAGTTGCCCACGTACATACATAGGAGAGACAAACCGATAAATCAATAACCGTATTTACGAACATTCTCTATCAGTCAAACATTCCGATACTACTTCAGCCCTAGCCCATTATTACATTTAGACAGGCCACAAAATAGATGGTTAGAAAGCAAAAACCATCGCTCCCATCCGGTCCTTAAAATCGAGAATCATTGGTGAAGCCATCGAAATTGACAAACGGCCTAGCAGCTTAAATACGCGCGATGACGCTAAATGACTGCCGGCATCATGACGGCCCCTGCTTTAGCGACTCCCCACCTAAACCGACACCGCTCAGTCAACGTCAGCTCAGAATATATTGGCTTACGTTCTTCTGACTATTACTGATCTGAGTTCTTAATTTTGTTATCCCAGAACAGCTAAAAATTTTGGGAATATTCTTTATCGTATTTGTTTAGAACGTCTGAAGCATTTCTAAATCCTATTGTTATACAGGACATAATAGAATATGATATGTACCTCAGTCGCTTATTAAATTCATTCTAATATAATCTATATCAGATATAACAAACATGCCAATAAAATATGATATTTATCTCAGTCGCTTATTAAACGCATTCTAATATTAAAGTCTCAACATATCGTGCTCGTTCTAGTGCAGTCACTAACTAATGCAGTCATGTTAATGCATCGACGATATGTTGGAAATTATTGAAACGTCAATTGGGCTTTATTACACTAATAATCAGTTTCTAATTAATATTCAGCAACGAACGTTGGTATGATGAGCGAGAATGCCAATCGATACGTTATATGCAAACATCAAGTTTGAAATACATAGGAATGAAATTTCAAATATGGTGGTGAATGTGCATTTGACAAATAGCTTCAAAATAGACATCGCAAATTGGCGTTAATTTTTATTAAATTGACAAGTGGCAATAATATACTAACGATACTGTTAAATAATTAAATTATTTACAAAGTTCTTCAAAATCTTGATATGAAATTCAAATTTGGGGTAAAAAATCATTTAATGTCTGCTGTTTTATTTGTTTGTAATGAACGTTGGCATTTAAGATTTAAAAACTTTTGTAATAATTTTGTACTGGTTGGGATTGTTGTGAATATGATGTATTTTTTTTTTGTTTTCAAAAGTAAATGAACTACTACTACTACTACTAAGAATTTCCACAGTTTTCACTGTCTTCCTTCACTCAACCGTTTTCTCCAATTTTCCCTGTCATTCCAGTTTCCATCTCGCAGAGTTCTTTTCTCCATAGCCTTGTCGATTTCGTTTCTGAATGACCTTCGGGTCTTCCTCTCTTTCTTCTTCCGATCGGGCTCCATTCTGTGATTTTGTTTATCCAGCGTTCTCTGTCCGCTCTTCTGACGTGGCCGTACCAGGATAGTCTCTTCTCCTCTATATAGTCGATTAAGTCTGATTGCACTCCCATTCTCCGCTTAATCTCTGCGTTTTCAATTCTGTCTCTTTTGTAAGTCTACAGCTTCTCCTCAGGAACTCCATTTCTACTGCTCTTATTCTACCTCTATTTCTCTTGTTTATTGTCCAGTTTTCGGACCATATGTCAGGATACTTCTTGTCAGGTTATTATATATTCTCTTTTTTGTCTTTATCGTAATGTTCTTATCCCACAGCACTGAATTTAGTTGTCTTATACAGTTTCTTGTTTGTCTTAGTCTGTTGTTTATATCTTCTTCTGTTGTTCCCTGGTTCGATATTATGGTTCCTAAATACGTGAATTTATCTGTTCCATTTACTTGTCTTCCCTCGTCTATCTCTAGGTTTTTCATATCCTTGTTTTCTGTTGTTAGCTATTCGGTTTTCTCTAAGTCTATTTCCATTCCGTTGTTTTTATATTTTTCTTCTAGTTTTTCTGAGCATAAAGCTGAGATCTTCTTCATCTTGTGCGATGACTACTTGATCGTCGGCAAAACTTAAGGTGTTAAGGTTAAACATTCCTTCGCACTTTCTCCTCCATGGTTTGAGTGTCTTTTCCAAGAATATTTTAAACAAAGTAGGGGACGTAGCACAGCCTTGTAGAAGTCCTTTTGTCGTCTTAAATGGATTGTAGACTTTATTTCCACATTTAATAGCTACTTTGTTTTCTTTGTACAGTGCTTTAACTGCTTTTATTAGTGTTTGTCGGATTCAGAGATCATTCATTGCTTCCCACAATTTGACTCTAGGTATTGAGTCGTATGCTTTCTTTAGATCAACAAACGCCAGATGGAGCGGTCTACCTTTTGCCATTTTCAAGTAAATGAACTAAATTTGGAAACAAATTCTTGAAAAGTACCCTATAATCTCTGCCCGTCAATAGAAATATTGTCTCCAATATCTCTCAATGATCTCTAGGATGTTGTTGTAGAAATTAATGGTACCCTTCCACTCGAAACCATATGGTTGCTCGTCGTTTTGCTGATTTAACTTTTTTCTTGATATAACACTGTCTCATGGTGCCGTGGTATTTGAACAGTCGATGCAGTTTGCGTTCGTTGAAACATATTTGGTGAGGTGGGTATTTATAAGATTTATGGTTAATAGAGATCTATGCTACCACTCTGGCTTCTTATACTAAAGAACTTCGTAGCCAGTAACGGTGATGGGCACAAGATAGGAGAGTATACTGATTGAAAGGTTGTCATTGTCCTGGACAATATTTTGGCTATAATGTAAATACGATAAGATAAGGGGTCTCCCAATAAGAATGTCCTGATGTTTTTTTTTAAACGAAAACGGTAAAAATTGCTGTAAATAAAAAAATATTGCAAAATATAATAGATAACAATTATGTTCCGAATAACAAATCATTCAAATGTCCACCGTGACTACGTTTGCAGCAGCGAATCCGATGAACCCAATTTTCGGTCACTTTATACAAAATATTTGCATTAATCTCACGAATGGTGTGCTTTATATTTCTTTTTAAGTCTTCAATAGATTGTGGTTTGTTCACATAGACCAATGACTTAACATAGCCCCATAAAAAATATTCCAACGGTGTTAAATCGCAGCTTCTTGGAGGCTAAGCATCTGGTTGTAGTTGCTGAATTCTCCTTAAATCTCTAACATCAAGAGAAATCAATGTTTGCGGGAACTTTTCCTTTAATAAATCAATGGTTGGGGCAGTAGTGTGACATGTGGCACCGTCCTGTTGGAAAAACATGCCATCCAAATCCATTTCATCCAACTGAGGCCCCAAAAAATTCGTTATCATCGTTCGATCCTTTGACCGTTGACTGTTATGTCCGAAAAAAATAAGGTCCGATGATGCCACCATGCCATAAACCATACCAGACAGTGACTTTTTATAGATTTAAAGGCTCTTCAAGAATCTCATGTGGATTATTTTCACTCCAAAAACGACAATTGTGCTTATTCACACAGCCGTTTAACCAAAAATGAGCTTCATCGGAAAAGAATATTTTTTTGAAAAAATAGCCATCATTTTCGAGTTTTCGAGTTTGTCTAGAGCCCAATCAGCGAAGAAACGACGCTTGTGATGGTCAAGTGGCTTTAGTTCTTGAGTTTTGAGAACAATTTTGTAAGGGTATAATAGGCCTAAATCCTTTCTCAGAATTCGCCAAGTTGTCATTTTGGCTGGTCCAAGTTCTTGTGAACGAAGATTTATGGACACATTTGCATTCTCCGCTTCACTGGCTCTTACAGCAGCAATATTGTCCTGAGTTCTTGTATTTCAGCATCTAGTTGGTGGCTTCGTATCGTGCAGAGTAAATTCACGTTCAAACTTTTCCACAATTTAACAAATTACACGCACATCTGGATGATGATTTGGTCCATAACTTTCATGCAATGCACCATAGGTATTCACAAAAGAACGATTATTAGCATAAAATTTTAGTATAATTTCCAAACGTTGTCCAAGCGTATATCTTACTATGGTAATTTGTTCATCATCATCATCATTCCTCAACCTCTTGCATCCACTGTTGGATATAGGTCTCCTCCATGTTCTTCCACTGTTCTCTATCTTGCGCCTTCTTTATCCAATTTCCGACTGTTTTTCTCAAGTCGTCCATCCACCTTTCTGGTGGTCTGCCTCGGTGTCTTTTGTCCTCTCTAGGTCTCCATTCTATGAGTCTTTTGGTCCACCTATTATCATTTAAACGTGCTATATGTCCAGCCCATCTCCATTTGGCTAGTGCAATTTTTTCTATGACATCTGTCACATCTGTCACGGTAATTTGTTAGAGCCACGTCAACAAGTGACAGTTCTACCATTTTTAAAATGGCCGCTATGACATTTCAAAAACAGGGCATCCCTATTGAGAAACCCAATACATATTATGTCTAGAATGTAGGGTCTAAGATCTAGAGGAGTGTGGTTGGTCGCTTCTGGATTCCTGGGTTTCCTAGGGTTCCTTGACTAAGGTTGATGCCTGCTCAGTACCAAGTGTTTACAGAATTTCTACAATTTTAGTGCTCTTATACTACATTCCAGATTTCGAAAGGACTATTAATGGAACTGGGTACTCTACGCGTGGTTTTGGGTGATACTTTTTACTACGCTAGTCGTACAGATTTTCTACACCTTCAGTGCTCTAACAATATACTTGAGGTCTTGAAAGAACTATCAACTGGCCTAGATATCCTCGTATTGAGTTTTGTTCACTATTTTTTAGGGATTTCGAGTCCTAGGGTTTCTGGGCTAAATAATAGCCCTGGTTAGTACTAAGCATTAAAAGACTTTCTACAATTTCAGAGGTCTTACAATATACTTAGAGCCTTAAAAGAACTATCAAACGCCGACTGGATGTCTTACGCGTGGTTGTTTTTTTATTATCCTGCGATGTGTGTGCCTTTAATTTTAGGTTTCAGATTTAAATATTTTACAACAGAGCCTACATTATTACTAGACTTCGGCAAATATGCAAATAAAAATGTAGAAAATATGCGCATAAATATGCACGTGTTTACCCGAAAATATGCAAATATTTTACAAAATATGCATACAAATAAATAAAAAAATCGTAAAATAGTAACAATTTTATTTAAAAAAAAGTGTACATAACTAAATATTTCCTACTATTCATTAAGATTTACATTTATTTTAAGTAACTACATCATTTTTAAGTATGAATAAACTTATTTAGAATTATGGTAACAATAAATGACCAAGTGGTGTTCAAAATTTTCTAACAAAAACTTGTGGCTTCTGTTTGAGTACATATATTTATATATGGAAAAACTTCGTTCAACATCAACTGATGTAACGGGAGCATTTTTCAAACTAACCAAAACATTTGGTTCTAAATTAATTGTTTCCGAAATATTTCCAGCTAGAACACTGACTACTTCAGAAAGAATATGGTAACCTTTATTTTTTTCCATAGTAGCTTCAAATTTTTTTAAAATATCTTTTCCAATATTACCTCTAACGTTTCGACAACATGACGCAAATTCTTTTATTAATGCTGTACTTTCGAACAATGACAGTTTTGGTGATTCTAACTGAGTAATTGTTTTTTGAACAAAACTAAAATTTGATTTTATAAATGAAAGTTCTTGTTGAAGCAAGTTACTCTGAAAAGTTTGTTTAGAATCCAAAAGAGATTGGGAACTTTCATCTGTTAACGTATCAATTATGTTCTTTATTTTAACAAAATGATCTGCATAAAAATTAGCTGCTTCTAACCATGTTCCCCATCGCGTTAAAGTATGTTGTAGTGGAAGAGGAATGTTAGGTAGCATTTCTTTATAAAGTTGAATTCTTATAGGAGATTTAAGAAATACTTTTTTGACACTTGATATCATGGTATTTACAAGAGGAAACTTTTTTCGTATTTCCTCTGCAACTCTGTTTAATCCATGCGATACACAAGTAACATGTATTAAATCTGGGAAAAATATTTTTAAATTTTGTTCTGCTTTCACCATATAAGGAGCAGCATCCGATAAAATAAGCAGTAATTTATTAGAAGGAATAGTTGTCGGAAGAAAAAAAGTTGCTAATGTTTCTTGTATAAAACGCCAAAGTTAAAGCATTTGTTTTCTCACGTTGCTGGCATGAAATAAGATGAGATTTTGGTAAGGTATCTTCTTTAAGAACACCAATCAATAAATGAGCAATATACTTTCCTGAGGAATCAGTGGTTTCGTCTACAGATATATATAAAATAATTATCTGCAATTTCTTCCTTAATATTAATTAACACCGACGAGTATAGCCCGTTCACATTATTTCTTCTTAGAGACCGATCACTTGGAACATTAAGTTTGCAATATTTTTTTAGAAACGAACTAAAATTTACATTTGCTAATTTTGAAAGCGGTATGTTTGCAGACACTAATGCGCTACACAAGTCTTCATTAAAAGTTTCTTGCTCATCTAATTTTTTTGAAGTAGATTGGAAACATTTAGCCATTGAAGTTTGATGTTTTCCTCCAATTTTTCCATTTTTTTGCAATGTGTGAAGCAGTTCTCACATGTTGGTCTATCTGAAATTTCTTCTCACATGCTATCTATAAATAAAAATAAAAACCTTTATTTTAACCCAACCTTTAAAATATAAAAATATACAAGGTGTTTTTGGTTAATCAAATAACTGGTTTGGAAAAAAAAACACTCGCTAAGTGTTTTAAAATGCAGTATTAATCCACAAATTAGTTTTTGTTACTAACCATTAGTACATCATATAACTTATTTTAAAATTCAACAAAAGTTTTTTTTTGTTAATTCAATTACAATAAAAATAATTGTGTCTTAGAATAGCCGACTTCATAAAAAAAAGTAAAGGTGAAAAATTTTTCTAAATACACACCATTGTATTGTACCATGGACAATTTTTTCTCACTAAAGAAAGCTATTTTTCATTTAAAAACAACCTACGAGTACTAAATTTCAAGTAAATACGTTTATTGGTTTTAAAGTTATTGTTGTTATTAACTAAAAGAATTTAATTTTTTTTAATTTTAACACCCTGTATCTCGAAAAGTAAATAAGTTTGACCCCTCATTAACTATATCGTTTTGTTCAATTTTTCGAGAAGTATCTACAGTCAAACGTTGTAAGTGTCATTTGGAAACACCCTGTATGTATGAAATATTAGATATTTAATAGAAAATATTAGATACTTACAATTTTGCCACAGACTGAACAGTAGATTTTTCCCATATCCATAGACAGCTCTTTATAAGGTTTAATCCAAGTTGAAGCACTGGTTGTTTTAGGCATTATAAAATCACAATCTTCCTTTTTGTTACGCACAACGAGTGTTTACGCTTTGAATATCAAAACAAAAATGATTTACAAATCTGAGCATCAAATTAGAAATGTTTAGGTACCTAATTCAATAAACTGGGAGATTTTGGAAATCCCTAAATTAGGAACAAAACTATTAGCCATTTACCTGCTGTTAAGATACAATAAATTGTAGATAGATTTGGAGATTAGATCATAAAATGCAAATGAGCGAACCCTTAGCGATTATCCAATAACTGAATGCCTCAGTGACCGAGACTTTCTAAGAATGTTGAGGGCTACTTAAATTGATCTTCTGAAATTGTAAATGTTTTGTACCTGTAGAGATTACATACTTAGATAATTTCTTGATTAAAATGACTACAAAATTTTATACAAGAATTGAAATAAATTGGTATGTTTAAAAATTTTCAAATACAGTATAAAAATCTGAACTTTTATGCACTTTATGCAAACTTTTATACAAATATGCCAAAATATGAAATATTTGCATAAAATATGCACAATATGCAAAATATGCAATATGCATATTTGCCGAAGTCTAATTATTACCAACAACTTGGAAGACTTTTAGAGAGTCAATGTTTTTTGAGTAGATCGTTAACATTTAGGTTTTAAAAATTTCTTAAGTCTTAAATTCTGAACAGGGTTGAAATTGTTTTAGGTATGATGTATGTTGTGGTAGAGGTATTGGGGCCTGTGTGCTTATTTCTTTAGTAGCAATATTTGTAAGATAAGCCTTTTACGTACATTTCGTATAAGGTTAAGTTGTCAAATGTTTTATATTTGTGAATGAAACAAGTACAACAAGTACAATTACAGTATAATAAAAAAACTTTTTTATAGAAACTCTACGGAAGCATCCACCATTACCAGGTACTCCAAGAATGTGTAACAAAGAATACCAAGTTCCTGGCACAGATGTCGTCTTAGAATTGGGCACTAAAGTACATATACCTTTCCAAGCCATCCACAGGGATCCGGAATATTATCCAGATCCGGAAAAATTTGACCCAGAAAGATTCAGCGAGGAAAATAAAGCCAAAAGACACCCGTTTGCGTTTATTCCTTTTGGAGAAGGACCCAGGATCTGTATAGGTAATTTTTATATAAACACAAACTGTTGGAATTTCGGTTATACCTTAGAGGTGTCCTATTTTGTTTATTAATGGAATTCTTACCACTGTTTTTAATGGATAATAGTCATATATAATAATGTTCTATAATGGATAATAATAATAAGACATATCCTGACTAAGCGTTTCGCACTTTGGACTTTCATAGATGCAACTCTTACTACTTGCTAGAATCTGCAACCCACCGATTTTCCTTATTAGATAATTATTATTCCAATATTAAGCATGCCGTTAAGCAATTTTCTCATTTGTTATTTCTCGTAAAAAGATAGATCTTCTGATAAAATCTTCTGATTCCCGTAAAAGATAGACGCTCTTCTACCTTCTCTTAGTGAACGACTAATCAAAAAGAAACAGTAATAGTACCGCGAATCCGCGAGAGACAGAGACAGATTAAAACTGATACAAGAAACATCGCGTGTGAATACCTCGATTGAAAACCTGCTTATGGGACGACTAGCCATGTGTATATTAACAAGCTTTTTATAAACTTGATTTAGTTATTGTCAGTATAACATTGAATTACTTCTCTTCTTTATTTTAAACCTATTTACCTTATTAATACTGATTGATTGAAATAGATATTGATTGAAATTTATATTATGTATTACTATTTTAGCAATTTCGCCTTAATTGTCCACCTTAACCTTACATACCGCAATTATCGTCATTTACATAGTTCTTAAGGTCTCCCTTGACAAAATTTGCACTTCCTTTCTTTAACTACATACCCTTAGTAGTGGTCAGGACTAAGGATGACTTTCGAAATTGTGCTTGTCGGTGCAGACAACAGACAGGGAGAGCATAACGAAAGAAAGAGATGGATGAAGGCTGGGACTCGACTACGTGATTTTTAAACGTACCTAGCTAACAGTTCGAGTTTACTTCTCCCTCTAAGATAATTTTGGTAATTTTGCTGCGCATCAAGTCGGCTTGCCAATTGTAGGATTTTCAAAGTCATTCCTAGTTTCCACAACCAGTACGTCTAAGACTTCCATAAATTCTAAGACCTTATCATGATTTTTATAACATGTAACCTTTATTTATATATATTATTGAAAATTTCTGTTTTTGTATCTTTCTAGGTGCAAGATTCGGAATGTTACAGGCTAAAGTTGGAGTTGCTTCTGTCATTAAAAACTTCAATGTAACACTGAATAAGAAGACAAAAGTTCCAATTAAATACACTACAAAGAGTTTTATTACTGCTATAGACGGAGATGTATGGTTGACGATGGAAGAATTATCGTAAATTTTAAAAACTAGTAGTAGCTTTTAAACTGTTTAGAAATATTTTTCATTTTATATTAAAAAAAAAATAAACTAATTTTATATTTTAAAAATTTTGTATTTATTTTGTAAAATTAAAATAAAAATTTAAAAAAGAAAAAGTTCTAAAAACCTTAATTATTATAAATATATTAATTATGAAGCTATTGAAGAAATTCAGATAGGCCATAGAATCTCTTAAATGTAGGGGTAGGTAGTAGCTTAGTCAGCATGCTAAATAATGGTTTGACATTGTTGACATGTTTGACATACTTGAGAAAATTATGTTAACAATGGTATTAAACACAATTATATTAAACCAATACCAAAGATAGGATGAATACACTTGATAAAAGTGGTATTTACAAATTAAAATGTGATGCTTGTGATGCCTCTTATGTAGGTAGAACCATAAGAAAGTTATCCACTAGAGTCTCTGAACATTTGAAAAGACCAAACTCTTCAAGTTTTGGTCAACACTTAGTATCCAGCAACCACAATTTTAACATCAATTCTGGTTCATCTATCTTACATGACATTAGTAAAAGAAAAACTATCTTGAGTTGGATTTATTGGAAGATTTGGAGATTACAAGGGAAACAAATGAAAACTCTCACTGTCTTAATACTCAAATTAATTTAAATCGTACTAAATTTAATCCTATATTTAAAAACTTTATTACAGCTCCATCTCGTAGAGGGCCCAGCTCGACTGTTTAGACTTCATGCACTGAGTATTTACATATTAATTTGAAAGTTCTTCCATTGACTGTGGATTCAACTGAACTAACTTGAATTATAACCCATTTATATATTTTGCCTTTAATTTTGATTTTAATTTTTAGCAATTCAACTGAATATTCAGATTTTCTTTTTACAGTACTGATAGCGCTTGGTGGACCATTTTATTGTAGTCAACTATCCACTGTCTAATATATTGTTTAGTCTATTTCTTACGTTCATACTTTATGTCAACTTCAATTGCTCTCAAACTAACATCCTAATTATTATAGACAGGTTTGAGTGTGAGATCTGGATTATTCAATCTACATAAAAATATTCGATATAATTTTATATTTCATCAGTTGATTTCCTATAGTGGTGTCAGTTGGACCTTTGGTCAATACTTAGTTTCATAGAATCTTGAAAGGCGCAGATCACTTATCTATTGTAACTGCCCTTCACAAGATGTCATTTGTCACATGTCATCTAATTATCTCCGCCAGGCTGGGAGCCATTCTGTCTCCGGCTTCTATATAAAATGTACCTTCTCCATTTCTTAAATTTTAAAGTGTTTGTTTGTCTTTGTTTAGTGTATTTGTTATGTCCCAATTTACATTTATAACATTCTATTACTGCTGGATAGGCCACAACTGACGAAGTAAGTCTATAAACGTTAATCACATAAAAAACTTTTTTCAACTATAAACTTGGAGTTTTTATCCAAGTGAATTAATTTTCCTTTTTAAAAAAATCGTTTCTTGGCTTATTTCAGATGCCCCTAAGGATGATCTTGTGATCGAAAGTACTTGGGCAAGATTTGATTAACTACTGTGTTCGATTTGCCTTGTGTACCATCAAAGTACAATTATATTATATTATAACCTCAATTATAACCGAATATTATTATGATCGAGACATTCAAATCATGGCCTTCATTCTCCGTAGGTCCAAATGGCTATGGTAATGGGTAGCTTTTGAAATCAAGCCAGGAGGGCAGAGGGTGCTAAGAATCTGCAAAGTCTAAACCACTACCCAAATAAAACAACAACGTTATAATAGCGACATATAATAATTGTCACTCGCTATCAAATTAATCCAGACTTGTAGAAATGGAAAAAGACACAGAAAACATAAAATGGGACGTCATAGAAATCAGCGAAGTGAGACGGAAAAATGAAGGGCTAGTGAAATTAGCGCCAGGAAACACATTCTACTACCGAGGCACATCAACAGGCAGAACAGGCGGTATTGGAATATATACTTATTATACAAATATACGCCCCAACAATTACTCACACTGACGAAGAAATAGAGGAACTCTACAGTATCATAAGTATCATTTTAAGTATTTAATTGGTGACTTTAATGCCAAAGTGGAAAAAAGAAGCGACAAGGAATAAATCGTGGGAAAGTATGGAGTCGGTAAGAGAAATGAGGGGGGAAAAAACTGGTTTAGTTTGCACACTACCACATGCCAATTGCAAATATATTCTTCAAGAAAAAATCAAACAGAAAATGGACTTGGATAGTACTGAATGGAATCACTAAGAACGAAATTAACTTTATTCTAACTAACAAGATTGCTACAATAAAAGATCTCAGTGTAATAAATAAATTTCAAACAGGTAGCGACCATAGACTAATCAGAGCAAAAATTGTTCTAGATCTGAAACTAGAAAGAATAAAATTAATCTTAAAACCAAAAGTAACCGGTATAAACATAAAACAATCTAAAAGAAAACTAATATCACTACCAAAGGACAATTGATAAAAGAATACATGACCAAAGTAATCAGCAACCTAGACGATGTACCTGAAGTCCTTTCGGAAGAAGTAGAATCGACAATTGGAAAAATGAAAAGCGGTAAAGCAGCTGGAATAGAAGGTATAACAGTGGAACTGTTTAAATCCGCTGGCAATAAAACCTGGAAAATCTTAGCAGGCATATTTATGAACTGTCTAATATCGAAAAGCATACCAAGGAAAGGTTCAGCCCGGAGGTTTCTATATGCAAGATGGCCAAAACATCGAGGCAATGGGTAAAAATAATATTTACAAATATCTCGGAATAAAACAGGCGCGGAAAATTGACCATAAACAAATGAAAACTGAACTAACTTCGGAGTTCGTGCAAAGAGTAAAACAACTAAATCGGTTATATCTTAATAGTAAAAATTTGTTTAAGGCATTATATTACGCCTGTTCCGCGCTGTGCTACTCATTTTGTATTATAAAGTGGTCAAAAACGGATATAGAGGGTCTTCAGCGGAAAGTAAGAACACTTCTCACAAAGGCGCAAAAACATCATCCACGCAGTGCAGTATAGAGAACAACATTACCGCGGTATCAAGGGGAAAGAGAACTTATGGATATAGGTTTTTTATTTATTTAGCGTATGGACTTTCATAGTACGATAAATATACAAATACAATTACAATAATATACACATATAAATTATATATATTATTCAACCACTAAAAATAGTAAAAATAGAATGAATAGAATGAATAACACTAAATATTAATGTCCAATTTACATAGCCATTCAATTGCTTCTGGGGAACATTCCGCAAAGTCCTGGAGGTTTCCACGGTAGGCCCGATTCAAGCAGTCTGAAACACAATGGCTTATGGTCTGTCTAGATTCTCCGCAATCGCACTGTGGACTTTCTGCACGACCCCACCTGAACAGCGAATCAGCACATTTACCATGTCCAGTACGTATACGATTAAGCCTTGCCCAAATGGACCGGGGCAGATTTGATCCGATGAAACCCTGAGTTGGGGTGGATATCTTAATATAGTCCGATTCTACTGTTGGCATCCATCTTGTTGTCCATTGCCTAAGTATATCATAGGAATTACCAATTTTTCGGGCAGATCGTATTGGAGGATTTCTAGATCTCAATCGGTGGTGCTCTTTTGAGATGTCTGGGATATCTTGATGTATTGGTAATTGTACGTTGGCTACAATTTTCTGGTACGCTCTCACTAATGCTGCTGTACGGCGTAGATCTGGTGGAGCAATATTGCTTAGAGTAGGCAGCCATCTCACTGGCGTTGATTTTATTGTTCCAGTGATTATTCTCATGGTTTGGTTAAGTTGGACATCGATTTTGCTTGTATGTGCACTATTTAGCCATACTGGTGCACAATATTCTGCCACTGAAAAAACCAAAGCTAGAGCAGAGGTCCGAAGAGTATCTGCAGAAGCACCCCAAGTTGTTCCAGCAAGTTTTGATATTAAGTTATTTCGTGTTCTTAGTTTACCGCTGCGTTTGTAAGATGACTTTTGAAGGTGAGTGTTCTATCAAGTGCGACGCCTAGATATTTGGGGTTGTTGTTATGTTTGATAGCTGTGTCATTTAGAGTTACATTGAGAGTATCGCCCGCAAGTTGATTCGACAGGTGAAAGAGACAGGTTTTAGTTTTGCTTGTGTTAGGATGTAAGCGCCAGTTCTTAAAATAGTTACTTAGTGTAGATAAGTCCTCGTTTAGAGCTCGTTCTCCTGCTTCTTTACTATTATCTTGGAAGCCAATGTCCAGGTCGTCAGCATAAGCAAATTTTTCTCGATTTTGTTGCAGGTATATCTGCTGTATAAAGGTTAAATAATAAAGGAGCTAGCACTGAGCCTTGAGGTAAGCCGTTGTTAAGTTTTCTAACGTTACTCTGTGCATCATTCATATATAGCTGAAACAGTCTGTTAGTCAGTAGATTGTTTATCAGCTGACAAGTTTTGAGGCAAGGTATGATTTTCATCAGCTTATAAATAAGGCCCTCTTTCCACACCGTGTCATAGGCAGCCGTGAGATCTATAAATGTTATGGCAGATTTTTCGCGTCTTTCAAAGCCAGCTTCAATAAATGTAGTTAAGGACAGCACTTGGTCACAGCAACTTCGTCCTCTTCTAATAATGGATATAGGTGAGCAATTGGATAAACAAATTGCTAATTTAGGAACTTATTTTCAGGTACAGGCTGAGACATCTACTTTACATTGAGCAATTTGCGTAGTATATGATACAACGCCGCTTAAACTAAGGGAACAAGAAATGCGCATAAACCACCTGACTCACCAAGAAAAAATGCGCACCTGGATGAGTACACCTCTGCATGAGCGACATCTCAATGAGATCAGCTAAATATATGTCGACAATACATCGTCAAATTATTGGTTGACATCAGGAAAGATGTTTCATGAGACTGAGGGTTTCCTACTTGCCATTCGGATCAGCTAATTCCAACTAAAAAATTACCTAAAATATATTGTTAAAGATCCTCAAGTCCAAAATGACAATGTTTGCCAAGCCCAAGAAACCATACAATATCTTACCGGTGGCTGCCAGGCATTTGTCGGTACCGATTATAAAGAACGCCATGACTCAGTAGG